TTGCTACTTGCTACTTACTACTTACTGCTTACTACCTACTACTTACTACTTACTACGTACTACTTACCACTCATTGCTTACTATTTACTACATACTACTGACTACTGACTACTGACTACTACTACTACTACTACTACTACTTCTACTGCTGCTGCTGCTGCTGCTACTACTACTACTACCACTACCACTACCACTAACACCACTACGACCACGACCACTACCACTACTACTCCAACTGCCCTTGTTGGAGGTTTTGGGTTTGGGGTTCGGGTACCTTTATGGACAGACTTAGACCTTAAAGTACCTATGGATGAACCCCTTTAAGGCCTGGGCCTAGGTATATACGATATGGGTACGTGAAGCCCTTAAACCCTAAACCCTAAAAAGGAGGCTCAGGGATAATTTTGCGCCAGCGGTCCCGATCGCCGGCGTCGAGCCCTGGGGTGCATGAGACTGGGAGGCCATGACCCGTCGAAGGTCCTGGAACTTGTTTAAACGGGCTCATACCCTAAACGCTAAACCCTAAACCTAAAAGTCCCAAAACCCCTAAACCCTAAACCCTATAGGCATTATGCTTTTAGGAATTCTACTTCTAAGGAGGGGATCACAAAGGCTGCCAAGGGGCTTAGGGACTGTAGGGCTTCTATAGGGCTCATAGCGCTTGTCGGGTTTATGAGCTGTGTAGGGTCTATATAGAGCTGATCGGGAACAGGCTTAACCGGGGTTTAGGGTCCAGGGCTTTAGGTCTATTTTGCACGACCTTTGCTTTTTGCTTTAGGATTTTAGGGGTTTCATGTTGAGTCCTGCAGCAACTCCGCGAAATTGATCTCCTCGCGCGGGGAGCGGCGGCTTGGCTTGGCAGCCAGGTTTGGGATTGTTCTAGGGTTTCCCTAACCGCCAGGTACCTACCATATAGGGTACTAGAGCGCCTAGGGCCCTATATAGTAGGTATCTGGAGGGTTACGGCTAGGGTTTTGGGGGTTGGGCTTGGGGTTGAAGTGCTTCGGCGATTGCCAAAGTCAGGCGGCTTCTGGGTTCAAGTTGATACAACAGGTATCTCCAAGACCTACCTGGAGCTACCAAAACCTGCCTTTTTTGTAGGGTTCCTATACATTCTACATTACGTTTTGTGATAAGAACCTACAAAAAATATAGATTATGATAGCTGATTAAGTTTGAGGTATGTCCTTGGACTCATCGGCTTGGCCGCGGCCGATCACGCGCTGCACCAGGGCAAGTAGGTGGCGGAAGTCAGAGTTGACCTCACGAACATTTGTTTTGTGGCCACTAAACCCTAAACCCGTTTAGGGCGTAGAGGGAGTTACCGGTTTGAGGTCTAGCGCTGCAAGGGGGATAGAGATCTTAGGAGTAAGGCTTATGTTTAGGGTTCAAGGATTTTTAAGCCTTTCCGGTTCAGGTGGATAGGGATTATGGGGGATTGTGAGGGGTTGAGAGCTTTGGGTTTCTGTTTCGGGTTGAGGGTTCCGGCTGGTTTCTGACTCTATAGACTTGGTTCTGAGCTCTTTTGAAGGGCAGAAAACATGACGTCGAACCACAAACAGAGCGACAAAACCGAAGCTGGAAAGAGTCTCCCCAAGGACCCATCTCGCAGAAGCCACACATGCTGAGCCTGCTCCCTACAAAGCATGAATCCGTCAAGTATTAAATCCGTCTCAGAAGTCCAGATCCACCGGATCCGAGCATGCGCGGCACACACTTTAAACCCTACACTCTGAACATTACCCTAACCCTCCAGGTACCTACTATACAGGGCCCCTAGGGGCTCTAGGGGGGTTTGGGTTGTATTAGTGTTGAACACCCTAAATCCTAAACCCTACACTCTGAACATCATATCGTTGAACGGGCTTTTCGGGAGTGGACGAGCCCAGGATGCACAACAATTGCAGTGGCACAGATACTCAGGGACTCCATGCAATGATGCAAGGCTTGAAGCTGATACATAAGCCCTTTATGGGTTTAGGGTTTAGGGTGATGCAAGGCTTATAAGGCCCTGCAATTTGGAGACCTTGAAACCGAAACACCCATGTATCACTAGTTATCATCCACAAGCTAAAACTGTTGCGCAGTTCATAGCCCTTCAACATTAAGTCCTGAATCCCTAGGCCCTAAGCCCTAAAATCCCGAATCTCTAGGCCCTAAACCCAAAAAAATGCCTGGCTGAGCCCAGGACCCGCTCCAAGGCGCACTCTTGGAGTCGAACGCGCCTTTGGGCCTCCGGGCTTTTTGAAGGGCTCAGAAATTCAGGGCTTTAGGCTTTACAGTTGGGGGGTTCGGGGGTGGGGTTTCAGAAGTTCAAGGTTTGAGATGGTTTGAGTGTTCAGGCTTTAAGGTTGAGGGTTTAGAGTGGAGTTCAGAAGTTCAGGGTTTGACTGTTCAGGCTTTAAGGTCGAAGGGGCTTCGGGTCTAAAACTTCTCCTGTGGATCTTAGAGCTTAAAGTGTTGAGGATCTCCCTTGTTAACATGGGATCTTTAAGCCATGATTGCTGTAGGGTTTCGAAGGTGCGGTACAAAGGTCCTGCAAGTTTCATGCGATTTTATGCGAATTCTCGGCCACCCCTAGTAAACAAGCCCGNNCCCCCCCCCCCCCCCCCCCTCCGCCTAAACCAGCACAACTCGAAACTTGTTTCCAGTTGTTGGAGGCTTATCTGTGGCGGGGTCTTGCTCTGGCTCTTGATCTTGCTGCTTCCTAGCTCCTTCTCTTGCTTTTGCTCCCGCTACTGCTGATGCTGTTGCTCTCGCTCTTGCTTCTGATCCTGCTCTTGCTCGCCCTTGCTATAGCCCTTGCGCATGCTGTTGCTCCTACTCCTTCTCTCGCACCTGCTCCTGCTCCTGAACCCAACCCCCCTAATCTAAATCAGGTTTGAAACGGCCGGGATGTCGTCAGACGGATTTTCCGAAAAATGTTGTTGTTGTTGTTGTTGGGGAGATGTTTAACAGTAGCAGCACCACCACCACCTCTACCACTTGCACCAGTACTACTGCTATACTAATAATTGTATGTGTAAGCGCGACTACTGGGGAGCTGGATCACCGTCGTCTATAGGGTTCAAGACCCCAAACCCACGCCCCACATCTGTCACTGGTCGTTGTGTTTTCATCGGGGAAATTATCTTACGACTCTTTGCTGTCTCTTTGCGGTGTCCTGAAATCAATAGCACACCTTTATTAGAAACCCTTGGGGGTCTTGAAGGAAGCCTATCTCACTTACAACATCCAAGACACCTCCTCCAACTGCCCGCGGGCAGTGTTGGCACACCGTGGGCTCACGCGCACGGGCGCGGGAGCTGCGTGCGGCTGCCTTATACGGGGTTCCAAGGCTCATAACTAGGATCCCACACCTAGGGTTCCAGATTAGGGTCCTCTATTTTGGGAATCCCTAAGCCCTATAAATCCTAAACCCTATAAACCCTATTGCCCGCTATAGCCTCAACTCTATAGCCCCAACAAATATCCAGGCCACTGGAAGGGGCTGTTCGGACTCTGCTCTTGCGACCTCTGCTTCGGCTGTGGCGACGACTGCACGGCAGGCGCAGGCGAATAGCCCAAGGAAGCCAGGGCACCATACCTTTCAGAGTGGACTTTGTAAGTAGGTATACCGCGAGCTCTTTGTGGAAGTGCGGGAGGTTGAAAACAGCAGCAGTCTCTGCTTGAAGTCTTTAGAAGGACCGTATACAACGGTATGTGGTCTATATCAAGGTTCCCTTCTATTCTATCGGAACTCCAGTTTCGCGATCTGCTTAACCCTCACAATAGGGATCAGTGGCCAGTGGCTGCGCACTTCGACGGACTGAGTCCAGCTTCTGTGCTTGAAGCCTTTATCATGCTACACGCAAGTGTCGACGGGGAAACACTCAATACAACAACATCTTCGAATGCAGCGACGAGTTTTTGTTGAACCTCCTGCTCCCGCCCGCCAACCTACGACGAGAAGACCAACACGTTGCTAACTCGCTGGATGAAGTGCAAGCTGTCACTTCTTCGGCTGCCCTCCAGCTGCATCAGCTTGTGGCGGGCCTTGCCAACGGAGTGTTTCTGGAATCATCGGATTTCACGGGCTGATGCTTGCCGAACCCTAAACCTCAAAACCCTGCACCACAAACCCTGAACTAACCTAAACCCTAAACCCTAAACCAATGAAAGCCGTCAGGACTGTCAAGCTGGCCTTGTTCAGGTCCAAGCGAAGCTGTGCACACTCCTCTTTAAGCCTCACTTTGCCAGGTGTCTTAAGGGGATCGGCAGGTAAACTGAGATCTAGGGGCTTCTTAAGCCGCACCTTGTCCCAGTTTCATAGGGGGCCTAGCATCGAAAGGTTAACGAGGATCGCAGGCCTAGGACTTTGGGGTTTTCGGCTTACGGGCAGGATCTAGGCTGCAGGAGGTATACTACTAATCCGACAGGTGTGAGTTTAATAAGACTAGGTGGCTTCACCGTGTAGCGGATCTTCTGCTTCTTGTTCACATGGCCGATGAGCTGTGCATGTCTATCCGCCACTTTTCCAAGATCGCTCTCGAAAAGAGCAACGCTCTCCAGCAAGCTGGAGTTGTCAACATGCAGTTGATCCTTCGCTCTTGTTAAGCAACTTACTTTGATTGATCCGCAATCGGGATAGAGAGCAAAATTACGAGCTTTCATTCTTAGGGTAATTATGATAAACCATCATCCTCAACAGCAGCCGAGGATCGTTTTCTTGCTTGAACTGCTGCAAGGACTGGGCCAGCTCCCGGTTGCATGCCCGCAACTCCTCGTTCTCCTTCAAGCACGTGGCGATGTCCTCGTCTTGACGTTTTTGAACCTGAGGGAGGACGGTTTAGGGAAAGGGGTCTTCGAGCTTGTGTTTAGAGTCTTCGAGTCCTGGTCGTGCTTTAGGGTTTGAGGTCTGTGGGATTTTAGGCTTAGGGTTTACTGCTACAGGACTTGTTTGTGCCAGCCGCAAGCCCGACGAACATTGTAACATCCCCCGAACCCTTCAGGGGACTCCAGACCGTCAGCCCCAAACCCTAAACCCTAGACCCTCTAAACCCACGCCCCACCTGATCGTCATGGGCCTGCTTCTTCATCTCTTGTGCACTGAGAGTCTCCGCATGCTCCGCCAGCTGACGTCTGCCTTCTTGCCGGGACTAAGCCCTACCTAAACCCCAAACAACCTAAATTTTAAGACTCAGATAAAGAAATCATATTAAGGAGCCCTAAAAAAGCAGGTTCTTTAGGGTCCAGGTAAACCCTAAACCCTAAACCCTAAAACCCTAAAGCCCTAAGCCGTGAAGCCTAAACCCTGCAAACCCTCAAACTCAAACCCTTTAAACCATAAGCCGAATCCCTGCTCCCCAAACCCCTTATTCAAGCCCTGAGCCCCAACCTCTAAAAGCCCTAACCCCCTTCTTCCCAAAACCCTAAACCCTCTAAGCCCTAAACTCAACAAAGCCCTAAACTCCATAAGCCCTACAATCTCTATAAACCCTATAATCCCTATAAACCCTATACTTCCCAAAATCCTAAACCCTATAAGCCCTAAACTTTATAAACCCTAAAAGCCCATAAGCCGCTGATATCTGCCTTCGCGCTGGGACTCCCTACGGGCCGCAATGATCTCAGACATCAACTTCCTGCTCTCCATCTCCTTTCGTGTTTTTTGTCCGGGGTTTAGGGTTCTGGGTTTGAGGATTCAGGGTTTGCGGTTTTCGATTTTTAAGAACTCAAAAGTTCTAGAAGGGTGTAGGGATTTTATTGATGCGTTCTTCTAGGGCTCTATAAGGGTTCAACTTTGGGGCTCAAGGGGTGGGGGTCCGGTTTAGGTTTAGGAAGTCTCTTGGGTTTAAGTTTAAGGGCTCCTTAGTCCTTGAAGCGTGCAAACACATAATTCACATAATATTGGCCACTTTGGGTTTAGGGTCTACAACCGGGCATGCAAGTTAGATTTACCCTAGACCCTAAACTCTAGGAGTCTGATTGTATTTCATGCACAATATACTTGAAGGCTGAGTGGCCTGAGGGGCTGGGTTTGGGCTCAGGGCTTAAGTGAAGCATGGAAGGGCTCGGTCTTTGGATGTGCCCCAATTACCTACTTACTCGTTTGGGGCTACACCTTGTAGAACGGGGCCGCAACCTACAAGTTTGTAGGGTTTGGCCGGAGTACAAGATGCCTGCGGGCATGCCTGTATCTAACAAGGCTACCAGTACCTTTGCCAACGAAGTTATAACGACATCATCCAACATCGCAACTGTTCATTCTGGAGTAGAAGTAGTTTCGGGCTCAGAAGTACGGCGTTAGTCAGGGTCTCCTGAATGCGCGCTGCCGCGCTGGCCGTCAGCTGATGCCAGGCGTGCTCTAGAGTCTTGCAGCGTGCTGCCGAGGCCTGACACACTGACAGCAGCTTTGGGGCTTGGAGGCTCCCTTGGAGTCAAGTTTGTTTCGGGTTTCGGCGAGATTGACTAGATAAGGCTGGAGGAGCTTCGGCATCGCCACGGAGAACGGAATCGGCATGTAAGCGCCTGTGTGTGGGCAATGTAGTACTAGAGGCATGTGTGCATTCCTATCGGGAGGCCTGTGCAAACACATCCTAGGAGCATGAACTTATGCAGAATTATGTAGGTGCGCCTCTTTTAAATGATCAGGAGAGGGAACAGAATCAACAAACATCCATTATTGACTGACGTGTCGAGTTGCCTGCACCAGACGTTGACAACGCCCCAAATCTTTGGATCCTACAACCCTGAAGTCCCAAATCCCTGCACACTAAACGCCGAGAGCCGGAACCCCAAAAGCCTGAACTGTCTGAGGGACCCTCAAAGCACCAATTCCCCTATACCCACATAAACCCTCAGACCAACCCTGACCCTCTAAGGCATCCAACTGAAACCCCACACACAGGAAAAAAAACACACAAAAAACAAGGAAGGTCCCCAGACCCTGATTCCCTACACTCCTCTCATGCAAGAAAAAGACCCACACACCCTGCGCAATAAGAAGCATGTCCGAAGCAAGGCAAGAAACCCAAGGAAACCAAGCAGCACAGCCCTTAACCCTAAACCCATATACGGTTTAAGAGTTTAGAGCTTAGTGGTTTAGGGTTTAAGGCTTCAGGTTCAAAGAACCGTACATAAACATTCTGAACCTGAAAAAACCCGAACCCTCCAGGTACCTACTATATAGGGTACTAAAGCCCCTATAGGGCCCTATATAGTAGGTACCTGGAGGGTTAAGGGAAAAAAGGCTTGCATCGTGTCGCCTGCTCAGAATAGATGCGCTGCTGAGTGGCGAGGTCGGTCTCCAAGGTCTCCGCACGGGCACCTCGCGACTTCGTACGGTTTAGAGTTTATGGTTTAGGGTGTATACTTCAGGGTTTAGTGTTTAAAGTTTCGCACCGATTTACAGCCTTCAACTTCGTTTTTCTCGGGCTTTTTATAGGTTCTGCAGTCTTTGACCAAACCCCTCTCCATGCCTTGGCGAATGCGCTCTGCCTGCTCCTCGTCCAAGCGGGCTACGGTGGCTGCCAGCTGGGCCTCAGTTTGCTTAAGACGTTAAATCGAACATTTGAGGGCTTCTAAGGAGAAGGCCCAGGGCTCTTTGGGTTGATTAGGGCATATACGTCTTACTTCTTGTGGTATTGTGGAGCTCAGGGCTGAGGACTGTTTCAGCTCGCGTGCGCAGTCCTATGAAGATCTCGTGCTTTTGAACTCTGACTCGAGCTTGAGAACGGCTCGACTTGAAGATTTCGAGACTGCGCAGCTCGGGATGATGTGAGTTGTTTTGTGTGAGGCATTTTGCCTTCGATTGCCTTGGAATACTTCTCCACCCTGAACACAAACTTCCAAGTTTCACCCTCAATCCCACACGTCGGGATATGTCACTGATTTGTAAGGCTTGAAATGGCACAGTACTTTACACCTTTTCGGGCCTAAGGGCTACTGCTTGGGGGGCCTTGTTCGACTTGTTCGAGGGTTGATAGGCAAGGTTGAGGTGATCTAGGAGAGTCTAAAACACAGCAACACCAAAGGCAAACCCTGTGTCCGTCCTCCAGCCTTGACACAGATGTTGCGATGCAACCGAAACATCCTCAAAGCCTCCACCCTTCAAGTAAACCCCAAACAGTAAACCCTCCACCCTTCGAGCCTCTCAACCCGTGCCCCCAAAAGCAAGTTCATAAATCCAAAGTCCATCCCTGAGCCCAGGCCCGACACTCTGATCCGACATCCGAAACCCCGATGCTTCCATAGAGTTTAGGGGTATAGGGGTTTAGACTTTATGGGTTTAGGGGTTTAGACTTAGGGCTTAGGCTGTATGTAAAAAGGCTGTTCCAAGAAGGTGCACTTTAACTCAAAAGGCAACTACACGTTAGGGTTTCAGGGTCACCCCAAACCCTAAACCCTATATCCTCCAAAATCCCTAAACCCCTAAACCCTAAACCCAAAACCCCCAAACCCCCAAACCCTAAAACCCTAAAACTCTAAAACCCTAAAGCCCTTAAACTTAAACCCCCATAGGGCTCTAGGGCCTAAGCCCCAAACCCTAAACCCCCAAACCCTAAAACCCTAAAGCCATTAACTAAACTTAAACCCCCATAGGGCGCTAGGGCCTAAGCCCCAAACCCTAAACCCCTAAACCCCCAAAGCCCTAAAACCCTAAAGCCCTAAAAGCCCTAGACCCCTTAAACCTCTAGGGCCTACAGACCCCAAACCCTCAACCCCCAAACCCTAAACCCTAAAACTCTAGGGCTGGGAACCTCCAGCAGCTCCTTCTGCGCCAGGACGTCGGCCAGCTCGGCCTCTTGGGCTTCTTGTCGCCTGGCCGCCACCGTGGCCTGGCGGAAAAAGCTTAGGACTTAGGGTTTTAGGGGTTTGGGGCTTAGGGTTTTAGGGTTGATGGCTTAGGGTTTAGGCTTTAGGGTGTAGGGTTTAGGGTGTTGGGTTTAGAGTTTAGGGTACATACCTGAAGATACCTTTAGTATCCTTTCATGAAACATGGGTTGTTATTAGTACGGCTTCAAGATTTCTGGTATGGTTTACAGTGTATGCCTTAGTGAAGAGTTGTTGTACTCTCTGGGTTTCTCGAGGTCACATTGCAAACACCTGCAACACTACTACACAACCCATGTCAAACATGTACAACCCCGTATGAAGCTGCTACCAAACAGTACCAAACCCTTCGAACCCCATCGGACATTACGCTCAAATCCTATATGACAAATCTGGAAAAAAAACGAGGCCCCTTACCAACCAAACTTAGAGCATTTGGGAACCCTGACCCCAGCCTGCAGGGGTAATCTTAGTTTAATCAGAATCGTGATAACTATTTTGGCGACAATTTGTGGCTTAGGGGCTGAGTACCCTAGCC